ACTAGCGAAAGTGCAAAAAGTCTCACCTAAGCCTAACAGTGCCTATTTTTGTGATGTAAGTGACTGATTGAACTTTTCTAATCGAGTTTGTGCTACGTTTTCAGTACTATCGTCCTACAGAAGTAGAAACGTTACTTGGTGACGCTACGAAAGCAAAGAAAGTCCTTGGATGGGAGGCTAAGATCTCCGTGGAGGTAACTGCTGTGAAAGCACCGTTCGTTTAAATATTTCTACTCCTCAATAAAGCTGTAATGTTTACAGGAACTCGCTAAAGAAATGGTTGCCTCTGATGTTGCCCTGATGACTGCTAATCCTATGGCTTAACAACTCTTTGTAATCCTATGGAGTAGTTTTGTTGGGTTTTAGCTTTCTTTTTAGCCATATTGAATGTGATTATTGTTGACCTAATGCTTTCACCGTCAAGCTTCACTGAAGTGTTATACACGAAGTATTATCTATCTCAGTCAAAAATGTCTGTGATATTTTTATATTTCACATAATTTATAAAGTGTGAATAAACCTTACTAAGGGGATGCATTGAATAGAAGTTGTTGTTGTTGTTGGAACAGAATTTATCGCTAGATAAAACGCGGTTTTCTGATCAACAGGATGCAGTGAAGGATGTTCTGTTGAGTTCATGATAAAACGATGTTTGTTTCATGAAATGAAAAACGAGCCAGGGGAAGTTTCGGTCGTTCTGCTTTCACTGTTGGCACTTGTCCAACTGTTTTCACCTGGTAGGTGTCTCTATGAGTCATCTTGCCTTCAGTTATTATTGTGTCTAGTATGTTTTCGAGCTTTGCTTGCCAAGCAAGGAGTCTATGAGGCTCAGAAGGGGCAGGGAAATTCTTCTCTGCGAATGTAGTGGTTTGCGCGGGGTCGTAGGTGAAGGCCTAAGTGGTTCTTAATTAGATTTTCTCGGGAATAAATTCCCAATTGCAGACGCTGATGCAGGACCCAGCGTGGGTCGACTGTTAAATACACGGCAGACCCGCCCAAGTCTTGAGAGGCGAAGGAGCTCTAATGGGGGTAACTTCACAGGAAACAAAAAACTTTTCTTCATTTCAAAGAGTTGCACACACATTCAGCGCCCTTGATGGTATAGGTGACAAGACAATCGTAAAATGCCGCGCAAGGTGTGGCGAGCGAGGCCGCGTACGAGAGGGACGAGTTGTCCTTCCCGGCATTCGAATTTGAATGTCAAATTAACGGGAAGAGTTATATTGTTCGGCATAGTGTCTTGGCTTGCTTAACGCAGAGACAGAGGTCTGGCCAGCCAGTCGAAGACACTAAGTCACGTTAAGAGGGGAGATGAAGACGATCGCAATTCGCCGCGCCGTCGCGTGCGGCGCATCATGCGGTGAGGCGTGGCAAATTCTCGGTGTGTACCCGCCTTGTCGACTGGAGCGTGAAACTGATGTGAACTGAAGCGGACAAGACTCCATGCCGAACCATAGATCTTTCCCGTTTCTTACATTCATTCAAAACGGCCGCAAATGACAACTCGTCTATCTCGTGCGCGGCGTCACTCGCCACACCTAGCGCGGCATATTACGATTGTCCTTGTCACATACCCCGTCAAGGGATGCTCGAATGTGTGTGAAGCAACTCTAAACAAGAAAATGGATTTCTACATTTCCTGGAAAGTTCCCCACCCAGGGTTCTTTGTCCCTCCTATGGCTCAGGTGGGAATTCATAGTGTATTGAATTGCTGAATTGCCGACTTATGCATGGTAGTGGTTTTCTTCAGGGGCTTTGCCCCAGTGAAAAAGTAAGGTAAAGCTTGAGGCCACTGGGTTTTCGATCGATATCTCGACAGTGGGTAACCATGGCAGTACCGTGTTCCATGGGCAGTTCCTTCACACGAAAAGTGCACCCTGAAAACTGTATTTTCGTACGTTTTAGCAAGAAGGGCTAAGGAAGTTATAACGCATATTGCTTCTTTGATAATTTATTTCTATTTAGCATTTTGCCTAGAAAGGCTAATTTTTGGCTCGTGCATTAAAGTTGGATTCAATTCAGGTCAAGTATTGTAAAAGCTGGGGAAGTTTGTGTTACAATTACTACTGAAACTACTCTTCACAAGGGGTAACCTGAAATCGCGCGTTTCCCACGGTCAGTTCAAGTTCCGTTGGGGGGCGGAACACCGCACCTGCGGCCGCCACTGTAATTCGTCGCGCATCCTGCCCCAGCTCCGGTCAGTCCTTCCCAGCTGCTCAGTGTTTCTGCTGCATTGGTGAGTTTTTCTCCGTGATTTCCATTTATCCCTTATTCCTCTTTCGTGTACCCCCTCATACATGTCCCTTGTCGTTGTTGAACAACCCGCAGACCCGCTCAGCAACGCCGCTTTCTATTGATTTTTGCCGCCGCCGTATTCCGTTAACCCAACGACGATATCCGCACGCTATCTCAGCCCTTATCGTTGATTCGTTTATTTCATCTGAACTGCCTGACTTTTATTTCATTTCAGAACAACAACCTCAAGGGATAGTCTAGCTCAAGCAATGGAATACAACGTTGGAGACGTTGTACGATGTACATGGGGAACGAAACCGGTTGAATACGAAGCGAAGGTACGTTAAAATCCAGCAGGTTTCTAATTTACCTTACAAAAAAGCTCTCGTGGAGTCTCACAGTCTATGTAAATTCCACTAAAAAAACTCCAGTGTTGTGCGGGAAATCGTCTCGAAGAATGAAACATGTTCCTTAAACTTTCTTCTTAGAATGCTCACAGGTTTAATTCCCAAATTGGTTCCTTCAGTCCTTCTTGAAAATGACAGATAGAGCGGAACCTTTCTGTGTGCGCTTTAACAGTTCAGGATCACGTAACAGTTTTTACTTATTACTTTAATTCCCACATGCTCAGAAGCGGGTCCAAAGAGCTATGATGTTCTTGGGAAAGAAGCAGCAGTAGGTCTTCGGCTGGGTTCGAGAAGTCAGGAATCATCTAAAAAATACTTTTAAATAGCTTATTAGCGCTGAGCATATCCATGGACAATGGAAGCTGACTAGCAGAGAAATTAGTTCTTCTTCATCACGGCACAATTCTTGTTCAATC